GTAAACATTAAGTGAATCTGCAAATTCATTTCATTTTTTGCGTTTGTTTCTCCGCAAAATGTTACGGCTATTCATTTACAGTCAGTACTTTGAGGAACAGCATGAGCATTCGACACTGATGCAGCGCTATCGTATAACCATTATTTATTTGAAAGCCTTTTGTTGGGGAAACAATAAAGCTCAATAGTAGAAAAACTCAGTTCTGGTACGCGCGGTTTAGTGATAACCCCGTAAGCTAATGAATACATCTTCACCAAAACGTCGTTTTATATTAGCCTGAATTTTAAACTTGTCTATAGGTAGCTGTTTGATTAAAAATTGAATTCCTTTGTGTATAACAAAGTTATCCGTGCTCGACCAAATTTTGTCTTTTAAGTGCAGTATTGGACCTACAATTGCTATATATTTTGTCAGATCTTTTTGCCATCAGAGTATATGTTTTAGTTGGTACCCCTATGTATACTGTCACTGTTTTACGCGTACTGACATGACAAGAAACTTTCCAATATGGATGCAAATTTATTTTTTTATTTGACTCAGCCAAGAATAAAAGTGAGCAGCGATCATTTTATTTATGAAATAGATTTATGTTACTGTGCTAAATCTCTAAAAATAATAAACATGCAAAACATTCTGTAAAAAGATCGTGGCTGTGGGTTTAAGAGTTTCATAAGATGCGCACTGCTGATAGTTCTCAATAAGGATAAAACATCTGTACAGTACTTTTTCGGCTTTTCAGCATACACTGACTTCATTTATGGGACGTAATCTTGATATATTTTTTGATATTTTCAGTTTTGATATTCCGTGTATTTTAAAATTTTTATAATTTATTAATATATTTTATACTACTGATTTTGATCGCTGTACAAAAACCTATATAAAATTGGTGCGTTTCAGATATGTTCGAGTTGAAGTTTGTTGCATTCCGAGCCATCTAAACGGGTTTAAACGTCCTTTTATGCTGCAGTAAGTTGCAGTGATAATCACTACTACAGAAGTGTACTAAAATTAGATGTGGTACTTTTGCTGTTCATGATCAGTTTTTGCTTCCGTGGAGAATAAATACAAACATTAGACATTCATTAGCAACGCACAACTTGGACAAAAACAAGTCGAGCATTCTTCATGGATGACAAATCTAATTCCAACGTTGATCAAACAACATACTCTCCCCAATTTAAGGATGAAATATCTATGCGGAAGGTGTCTTAACAAATCTAGCGTCACATCTTTTTTTGAATACCTGAAAGGACCGGGGTTACACAGACAATGGATTATTCTAAAGTTTCTCAACCTTTGATCAACCAAACTTCAGCGTTATCTTAGTTCATCGTCTTATAACATTATTGGAAGAAAGCATGATATAATAGGCGAGTTAAATCTTTTTTGGCTTTCTTAACCACTTTTTCACAAGTTCCGCCTCGTTTTCAAGCCAACACTCTTGACGTTGAAGGCATCTGCAGAACCATACAGAAGCATGCGCTTTGATTTTACTTCGGGCATTAGTGCTACATGTGACACATAGCATCAATTTTCAGGCGATTTTTTCATGCGCAATCAACCGATAACAGTTGCATGTCTCCGAGCTATTTTAGGGACTTGTTTTCTCATTTGAGTGCTTACTCAAAATAGGTTCGGTTGATCTCACCATTTCAGGCTTTGAAAACAGTCATTTAAAGATTTTGACAAGTTTTGAGGACGAATGCTCATCGATAAAGGGCCTTGTGAAGTAAAAGACCGGGATAAGTCATGCCTGAATTTTTCACTGATTCAGCAGTTTGACTCGGTGACTATGTACTTAGGGACCAACAAGAAAGTGAAGATTAACGTTTTTTGCCACACAAATAAATGAACAGTAAGACGCAGAATCGTCTTTAGAGAGCTGCATCGCCTTGAAGCTGTCAAATTCTGATTGTTAATGCTACATACCGCTGTTACCCATGGGAAGTAATTATACACACTATGAAAGCAGCCTATTATTTCGAACAAAATGGCGTTGAGTAAATGGCACTCTACAGTAACACCTTATGCGATGGCAAAGTGCGCATCTTGTCCATGGGTCTCCATAATGACAATCACTGAAACATATGTAGCACATGTAAGCTGCTATTTTTCGCACTCAGTATCATCTTCTTTCATCTTGTCAGTATTGGTCACATTACTGTACAAGAGTATATCTAGCCTAAGTACGATCACAACCGCCCACTTCTTGGATCTAACGTGACTTTAGGACTTCTGCTGAATTATTGTTTTTGTGATTGCCGATTGGCTATAATTGGCTGCTACTAACCCCAAACGTGAACAAAAATTTTAGCTAAAAACACTGGACTAGGCTGTCCATACCTGTGGATTAATATTGCGATCACCGGAGATACGGAATACAAGGAAACTAAAACTTCTCTTATTGGCGTGGTGGTTCAACGGAATACAGAAATACGGAATCTCCTATTGTGAACTGTGAGTCAAGATGTACTTGGATTTTTCTCCTCGTGACATTATATATTAGGGATATCCCTAACTTACCCAGTTAGCACGCGTCCGCTCCTGGGTGCAGAACTTGTGCGGAATTAGTGCAGAACTTCTGCACTAATTTTCGGCTTTTAAGCCTCGCGA